CTCTCTCTCTCTCTCTCTCTCTCTCTCTCTCTCTCTCGGGTTATATTGACAACACGGTAACAAAACACTCAACTTAATGTGGTAGTGTGTGGTAGTGAGAGAGTGTGGTAGAGAAAAAGAGTGTGTGTGTGTGTGTGTGTGTGTGTGTGTGTATGTGTGTGTGTGTGTGTGTGTTTGTTCATCCCCACCAGGAAATACTCTTTAACTGGCGACACAGGACAGCCGGGAAGGGGGGGTGGGGGGGGGAGGGAGGGAGGAGGAAAGGATATGAGTTGTTTTTGTTTATCTCTGCCCCCCCACCCCTCACCCCCACCACCCCCTCACCCCCACCCCTCATTAAGACATCAAGCCACTACCTACCTAAAGTTTTCCCCTTCCCAACCTAACCTAACCTAATCCCTCCCCAAGCCATCCCCTCGTCCTCCCAAGCCTCGTCCTTCATCCCTCACCCTTCCCCTTAATCCTTCCCAAGCCGGACCTCATTAACTCTAACCAGACCCCGATCCATCCCCTCCTTCCCTCCCCCCTCAAAATCCATCTCTTCTTCCTCTTTTTCCTCCTTCTCTTCCTCTTCTTGCTCCTCCTCATCCTCTTCCTCCTTGTCTTCCTCTCTTCCCTTTTCTCCTCTTCCTCCTCCTCCTCCTTATAACGAGCTTCAGGTCCTACCGTGGGTTAGGTTTCTCCTGTCTTGTTGTGAGGTATTGTTCCTCATCTCCCTCACCCCTCCCTCACCCCCTCCTCACCCCTCCCTCACCCTCCTCACCCTCCCTCACCCCTCCCTCAGCCTCCTCCCTCCCCTTGTTGACTTTACCTCCATACATTGATGCCTCCTACACCTGCCTCCTACACCTGCCTCCTACACCTACCTCCTCACACCTGCCTCCTACACCTGCCTCCTACACCTACCTCCTACACCTACCTCCTACACCTGCCTCCTACACCTACCTCCTACACCTACCTCCTACACCTACCTCCTACACCTACCTCCTACACCTGCCTCCGACACCTGCCTCCTACACCTACCTCCTACACCTACCTCCTACACCTGCCTCCTACACCTACCTCCCTACACCTGCCTCCTACACCTACCTCCTCACACCCGCCTCCTACACCTACCCTACACCTGCCTCCCTACACCTACCTCCCACACCTGCCTCCCTACACCTGCCTCCCTACACCTACCTCCCACACCCACCTCCTACACCTACCTCCCACACCTACCCTCCCACACCTGCCTCCCACACACCTACCCTCCTACACCTACCTCCTACACCTACCTCCTACACCTACCTCCTACACCTACCTCCTACACCTACCTCCTCCACACCTACCTCCTACACCTACCTCCTACACCTACCTCCTACACCTACTCTCCTACACCTACCTCCTACACCTGCCTCCTACACCTACCTCCTACACCTACCTCCCACACCTACCTCCTACACCTGCCTTCCTACACCTACCTCCTACACCTACCTCCTACACCTACCTCCTACACCTGCCTCCTACACCTTTCTTCGCCTCAACTTCTCCCAAATGGTTATGTTATGGTGATCAGTGATGTGTAGTGATGTGCGGGATGGTTGGGTCAGGCCATGGCCCTACCAGGTACAAAGACTCACAGGTGATTAGCTTCAGATTATAGCATGTTGGTGGAGGGGAGTGTGGCCGGGGGAATTCCTGTGTGAGTGGTCATAATGGTCCTTGTGTAGTGAGTGGTCATAATGGTCCTTGTGTAGTGAGTGGTCATAATGGTCCTTGTGTAGTGAGTGGTCATAATGGTCCTTGTGTAGTGAGTGGTCATAATGGTCCTGTGTAGTGAGTGGTCATAATGGTCCTTCTGTAGTGAGTCATAATGGTCCTTCTGTAGTGAGTGGTCATAATGGTCCTTGTGTAGTGAGTGGTCATAATGGGCTCTGTAGTGAGGGTCATAATGGTCCTAGTGAGTGGTCATAAGGTCCTTCTGTAGTGAGTGGTCATAATGGTCCTTCTGTAGTGAGTGGTCATAATGGTCCTTGTGTAGTGAGTGGTCATAATGGTCCTTCTGTAGTGAGTGGTCATAATGGTCCTTGTGTAGTGAGTGGTCATAATGGTCCTTGTGTAGTGAGTGGTCATAATGGTCCTTCTGTAGTGAGTGGTCATAATGGTCCTTCTGTAGTGAGTGGTCATAATGGTCCTTGTGTAGTGAGTGGTCATAATGGTCCTTTGTAGTGAGGGTCATAATGGTCCTTCTGTAGTGAGTGGTCATAATGGTCCTTGTGTAGTGAGTGGTCATAAGGGCCTTCTGTAGTGAGTGGTCATAATGGTCCTTGTGTAGTGAGTGGTCATAATAGTCCTTGTGTAGTGAGTGGTCATAATGGTCCTTCTGTAGTGAGTGGTCATAATGGTCCTTGTGTAGTGAGTGGTCATAATGGTCCTTCTGTAGTGAGTGGTCATAATGGTCCTTCTGTAGTGAGTGGTCATAATGGTCCTTGTGTAGTGAGTGGTCATAATGGTCCTTCTGTAGTGAGTGGTCATAATGGTCCTTCTGTAGTGAGAATAGAGAGAACTTGCTAGGTTAGGTTAGGTTAGGTTAGGTTAGGTTAGGTTAGTTGATTAGGTTAGAATCTAGAGAACTTGTTAGTACGAGACCTCGAGAACACGTCCCTAGAGACCTGACTTATCGACCACTTATTCAACCTTCAAATAAAACCTCATCTAATCCTAAAATAGCTTCAAGATAACAAAATCCCTTATCAAGCTCTAACAACCACCTTAAGATAACTACAAAACCCCTTACCATCCCCTTAACTCTCCCTTAAGATAACAGAACCCCTTAAAAGCACTAAACACCCCTTATATAACTACAAAACCCCTTACCATCCCCTTAACTCTCCCTTATAATAACAGAACCCCTTAAAAGCACTAAACACCCCTTATATAACTACAAAACCCCTTACCAACCCCTTAACTCTCCCTTAAGATAACAGAACCCCTTAAAAGCACTAAACACCCCTTATAAAACTACAAAACCCCTTATCCTCCCCTTAACCTCACCCCCTTACGCTTTAAGATAACCTAACACCCCTAACCACCCTAAAACCCTTAACCTCCCCTCCTCCATCTTTTATGATAACCTAACCTAACCTATACAAGCCTCTGAACCCTATTTAACTTTCCCGAGTAAGACACAATAAGGTAATTCAATTCTCCTTCAAGAGTTAGTTACAAGTTTATATTCTCTTAAATATAAAATTGTCCAAAAGTTTAGTAATATTTTCCGTAGAGACACTTAATATGTGGGTCATTTCCTTCATTAAATGCTATACTGGTGAGCTTAACCTAATCTAACTTAACCTAATTTAACTTAACGTAATCTAACTTAACCTGACTTAACTTAATCTATTCTATCCTATCCTAACCTAAGAAGAAGAAGAAGAGAGAGAGAGAGAGAGAGAGCAAGAAAGAGAGAAAAAAGAACAAGAAGAACAAGAAGAAAGAGAGAGAGAGAGAAAGAAGGCGAACAAGAAGAAGAGAGAGACAGATAATTGTAATCTGAGGTCAAACTTTTCAGCAGAAGTTAGGTTAATTTTGCCACACGGAGGGTGAACCTTACCTTCTCCCTCCCTCCCTCCCTCCTCCCGAATATTCTTTACCGCCGTAGAATATTATTATTAACTTTAGCGTTAATAGTGACCTGGAAATAGGTTAGGTTAGGTTAGGTTAGGTTAGGTTAGGTTAGGTTAGGTTAGGTTCGGTTAGGTTAGGTTAGGTTCGGTTAGGTTAGGTTAGGTTAGGTTAGGTTAGGTGGTACAGCATTAGAGACGACATGAGAACAGTGCATATATCATCTCTGAGGTTAATAAAGTTACCATCACCATAATTACTTCCCTCAACTCTCGGAAGATGGATCAGCCACTAACCTCTCTCTCTCTCTCTCTCTCTCTCTCTCTCTCTCTCTCTCTCTCTCTCTCTCCCCAGAAGCAGATTAATCTTCTCCTTCAACTCCCTCAGGATGCCTCACATAGTACGCCTCGCCACATTCGTCATATTACTCTTGATTAGGATACCTTTCACCTGTTAGCCTCTCACCTGGTGACCTCTCACCTCTCGGCCCCTCACCTGTCAGCCCATCACCTGTCAGCCCATCACCTGTCGCCCCTTCACCTGTCGCCTCCTCACCTGTCGCCTCCTCACCTGTCAGCCCATCACCTGTCGCCTCCTCACCTGTTGCACCTCACCTGTCGCCCCTCACCTCTCAGCCCATCACCTGTCGCCCCCTCACCTGTCGCCCTCACCTGTCGCCCCTCACCTGTCGCCTCCTCACCTGTCGCCTCCTCACCTGTCGCTCCTCACCTGTCGCCCTCACCTGTCGCCCTCACCTGTCGCCCTCACCTGTTAGCCCATCACCTGTCTCAGTAGGGTAGAGGAGGTGCTGTTGTCATGTGTACTATAAAACTGTTATGTACGTATATAACATGTGTACTATATATACTTGTGTACGTATCCCACAATGAACCGTATACAAAGATAGACTTAAGGTGCACAATAAACTAGCCGTTCGTCGTGCGGGGGTCGTGAAATATTTAAAAATTACTAAAGATTAATTATATTTTTATCAGCCGTCCATCATGTTGACAGCTTCCTTGTGTGAGAATTTGGACATATTGGAAAATATTTGGATTGCTTATAAGTACAGTATGAAGACAAGGTTGTTATTGTTGTGGTGGTGGTGGTGGTTGTTGTTGTGGTGGTGGTGGTGGTTGTTGTGGTGGTGGTGGTGGTGGTGGTGGTGGTGGTGGTGGTGGTGGTGGTGGTGGTGGTGGTGGTGGTGGTTGTGTTGTTGATGATGATGATGTTATAGGCCTTGTGTTGTTGCTGTAGTAGTAGTAGTAGTAGTGTTGTTGTAGTGTAAGTGTGTGTGTAAGTGAGAGAAAGTGAGAGAGAGAGAGAAAGTGAGAGAGAGTGAGAGAAAGGTGTGTTACTGCTACATCAATTAAACATCAGTAGATAATCCTTTAACCCCATCTCACTAAACTACCTTGTTATGACAATTGACCCGGATATAACGACTCTTGACCTGTTATCACTAATGGGAGGATCCTTCACTCCCTAATGGCGGACTAAGATCATCCTATTAGGTATAAATCCCTAATTAATCCAGGTGTTAGGGATTAATTAAGGTGGTGGAGGTCACACAGGTATTTAGGTGATGTCTCTTGAGGTAATTAATGCTTTGAGGAGTGGATTGGCCAGGTAGACACACACACACACACACACACACACACACACACACACACACACACACACACACACACACACCTTTGAAGGCTTCACATCATAACAGGAAATAGATCTAGACAGATAGACAGACACACAGACAGAACCTGACAGAAAGACGGACATAGAGACACACATGCAGAGACAGACATACACGGACACAGAGAGACAGATAAGCAGAAGCAAAGAGACAGACTGATAGACAGAACTAGGCAGACAGACAGACATAACTAGCTAGATATATATAAAGATACAGACAGAGATGCATAGGATGAGATACAGACAGACAGACAGAGGTAAATAAAAGACGTACATACAAAAACAGACAGATATAATAAAAGAGAGAGAGAGAGAGAGAGAGAGAGAGAGAGAGAGAGAGAGAGAGAGAGGTTAGAGAAGAACAACAAATAATAATAAAATACCAGAAAAAGAGAAAATGAGAGAGAAACCGATAGACAGAAACAGACAGACAGACAGACAGACAGACAGGCAGGCAGACTCCAAAACTCATTCACAGAGAGAGAAAACATTTCGGCTTGTATATCGAATGTCAACTATTTTTTTCTCCTCTTTGTGTCCAGAGAAAATGTCGAAAAACAAAGACACAAACGAAAAAAACCACCCCAAAAAACACACAAACACACATTTCTCATGATATTATTTCTCAGTAAATAGTCACGTTTCATGTGCTGTTTTTACTGGGTATTTTTGGTGTGTTTTTCTAATGTGATTTTGTAATTAACTTGATATTTTTGTGTTTTTTTTCAAGACTGGAAGTTGTGTTTCTGTCCAGTTTAGTTTTTTTGTGTGTGTGTGTGTGTGTTCGTGTGTCTGTGCATGTCTGCGTGTCCTCAATAGCACCCCCCCAGTTCATAGTTCATTGACCTATTGGTGTAAATTGTGACTTTTATATTTTATGTCAGCAATGTTTTTATTGAGAATAATATGTGAGGATACATATACATATATATATATATATATATATATATATATATATATATATATATATATATATATATATATATATATATATATATATATATATATATATATATATATATATATGTATAACATTAATCCTCTGTGTGTGTGTACAATATCTCAAACAAGCACCTACAATATATACTAGGCCATCTTACTCACAGGCCTATTTATAACCTCACCACCCTACCGTACCCTACCCTACCCTACCTCCTACCCTGCCCCACCCTACCCTACCCTACCCTACCCTACCCTACCCCTACCCTGTCTCTACCCTACCCCTACCCCACTCCCACCCCACTCCCACCCTACTCCTACCCTCTACCCTATCCCTACCCTCTACCCCTACCCCTACCCCTACCCTACCCTGCCCTACCCCACCCTACCCCACCCCTACACCCCACTCCCACCCTGCCCTACTCCTACCCTACTCCCCACCCTACCCTACCCCACCCCTACCCTACCCCACCCTACTCCCACCCTACCCTGCCCTCACCCTACTCCACACCCTGCCCTACCCACCCCACCCCTAATACCCTACCCCACCCTACTCCTACCCTCCTACCCCACCCTACCTCCCACCCTACCCCCACCCCACCACCCCACCCCACCCTACTCCTACTCACCCTACTCACCCTACTCTACCCTACCCTACCCCCACCCTACCCTACTCCCTACTCCTACCCTACCCCACCCACCCTACCCTGCCCCCACTCCCACTCCCACCCTACCCCACCCCTACCCTCCCCCTCCCTACCCTACCCACCCTACCCTACCCTGCCCTGCACTCCTACCTCCTACCCTACCCCTACCCTACCCCTACCCCACCCCACCCCTACCCTACCCTACCCTGCCCTGCCCACCCCTGCCTGCCCTGCCTCCCCCAAAAAATATGAGAAAAAATTTGATATAAAAATCAGAAATAAAAAAAAACAGACAAACATATAAACTACCATAAATATAGATACAATTTATATATTAAATATATTATATATTTAAAAAAATAGCAGTCAATTCATTGTAAATCATCAATATAACAAAGGTTATTTATATAAAAGTTATAGTAATTTAAAGTCAAGTTTTTTCATCAACTGAGGGTGGAATTATTTTTAGAGGAGGTGGGTGAGTGGGAGGGTGGTAGTGGGAGGGAGGTTGGAGTGGTGGGAGGCAGGGTAGGTGAGTGGAAGGAGGTGGAGTGAGTGAGGAGGAGAGTGGTGAGGTGGGATGAAGTGGAGTGGGAGAGAGTGGGAGGGAGGCAGG